GGCAGCCCCGCCCATGCCTGGCCCTTCCTCGCGTAGCCCCGCCCTCCCTGGCAGCCCCGCCCACGCCTGGCCCTTCCTCGCGTAGCCCCGCCCTCCCCGGCAGCCCCGCCCTCCCCGCGCACTGACCAGCTGACGCAGAAGCACAGGCAGCCCAGGTCTGCGAGCAGCCCGTGCAGCCGCCGGTGGGCGCCGCCCGCGGCCCTGAAGTAGGTGTTGAGCTTGGTGAACTCCAGCTGCACGTCGTTGAGGTCGTGCAGGAACAACACGAGGATGCCCACGTTGTGGTACCTGGGCGGGCGGGACGAGGCTCACGTTGCCGCCCTACGCACCCCATCTCCCTGTCCCTGTCCTTAAACGGCTGGAGCCGCCCAGTCCCTACTCTCCGTGACCTCTGACCTCTGACCCTAACTCCGAGCCCTGGACCAGGCGGAGTCCGCATCCCTTACAGGGCTATCAGGCCACCCTGGCAGTCCAGGCTCCACGCACTGCATGGGAAAGGCTGTCTCGTCCCGCTAGGGTTTGGGGATGCAAGGGCTCCCCAGGTGATCTGACACCACCAGGGTGCAGCCGCAGGTGGCCGGGAGCTTTGCCCCGCAGCATGCTGGCTCCTGCCGCCGGCCCTTTGCACTGGCTGCTGTTCCATTCACCTAGCACTGCTTCCCGAGTTCATCTGTCCTGTCCGTCATCGGGCTATACCCTGGAGAGGCGCTGTCTGAGAACTTTGCAGAACCACAGGAATGTTCTAAACCCACACTGTCCCAGCCCCCTGAGTCCCAGCATTGTGGCCAGGAGAGCTGAGGAACAGCTGGGCCTTTAAATTGGGTTAAAGTGAAACGTAAGACCAATGGCCCCGTCTGTGGCCTCAACTACTAGGGAGGCTAGGGCGGGAGGACGGCTTGAATTCACAGCCAGCGTGGGCAACACATGCAGACTCCATCTCAAAAATACACGCACATACTAAGGAACCCAGTGTATGTAAAACATTGTCATTTCGGTATATCACCAAGATAGGGCACAGCGGCCCACACCTATAATCCCAGAGCTCAGGAAGCTGAGGCAGGAAGATGGCTGTGAGTTCACGGCCAGCCTGGACTATGCAGCCAGACCCTCAGAAAAACTAGAAAAAAAATCAAGATATGAGGACTGACAAGATACTTTCCACTTTGGTTTGTAAACGAGTTGTTTTTCCTTTGATTTTTATTTGTACATGAATAGAAAGCATAGTAGGTTTTGGGGTGGGAAATACTGAAGATGGAGTTCAGGGTGCACTGAGTTACACCCCAGCTGTCTGTATTTTATTCTCAGACAGGATCTCAATAGGTTACCCAGGCTGGACTCAAAACTTACGACCCGCTGGGCGTGGTGGCACACGCCTGTAATCCCAGCACTCAGGAGGCTGAGGCAGGAGGATCACTGCGAGTTTGAGACCAGCCTGGGCTACAAAGTAGTGAGCTCAAAGCCAGCCTGAACTGCATAGCGAGACCCTGTCTCAAAAAGAAAAAAAAAAAAAAATTACAGCCCTCCTGCCTCAGCCTCCTGGATGGCTCGGATTAAGGTGTGTGCCCCTGTGCCTAGTCACGGCAGTGGGTTCCAGGACATCAGGATGCCTGGTGCCTGCAGCCAGGCCTCCAGTCACCCCTGGGGTCAGGGTGGGTGTGGTGGCCCTCTGGGCCCCTTTCTCGCCATCCCTTTGGAACCGCAGTCCTCCCTGCGTTTCCGGGTACGCAGCCGGCAGCCCTGCTCCGCCCACCTGCACCCTCGCGCTCACCGGAAGGCGTAGGAGCAGACGATGAGGGCCAGTGTGACCACGTGGTGGGTGAGCATGACCACAGAGTCCTTGCGCCAGGTGTCCATGTAGAGCGTGGCATAGATGGAGTGGCCATAGAAGCTGCCCTGCAGCAGGTAGCCGGCCGCGATGTCCCGGGGCACCGCCATGCCCGGTGTCCAGTCTGGGGACAGCAGCACCATGGTCAGGAAACTGGGGCCTCCACGCAAACAATCCCAGGGACCCCAACACCCACCCTGACATCGGGAGCGCCACCGTGCCCACGGGTCTGCAGGAGGAACATCACTCGTTTTACTTTGCCTTAGTTCTTCTGAGACACAGTCTCACTTTGCAGCCCAGGCTGGCCTCAAACTTACGATTGTCCTGCCTCAGCCTTCCGAGTGCTGGGATTATGGGTGTGCACCACCACACCCAGCCTGACTACTGGTTTTCGGTTCCCAGTTCTCTGCCCATCATTTATTAAGAGCCCCCCATCGAACCTCCACACCGAGCTCCATCTGCGGCATTTTCCTTCATTTTGAGACAGGGTCTCTCTGAGTCATTATGCTATTGCCCGGGCTTGGCTCAAACTTGCGATCCTCCGGCCTTAGCCTTCCATAGTGCCAGGATGACAGGCGGACGCCTTCTAACAGGCCTTATTTTTATTTATTTATTTATTTATTTATTTATTTGTTTTTGTCTTTTTGAGAATGGGGTCTTGCTATGCGGTTCAGGCTGGCCTTGAGCTCACTTTGCAGCCCAGGCTGGTCTCAAACTTACAACGATCCTCCTGCCTCAGCCTCCCGAGTGCTGGGATTACAGGCGTGCGCCACCACGCCCGGCGAGGCCTTATTTTTTTTTAAAGCAGGTTTAAATTTCTACAATTAAATGCTGACATCTTGTACTCTGAGTAACTAATTTTAAGATAACCATACCCAATGCATTAACCACTGTTACCCTCCTATCATATTGTTTTGGAATTTTGTTTTTTGTTTTTCTTTAAAATAAAAATAAAAATAAAAAATTTCTAGAAATTCCCAGCAGGTGGCAGAAAGGGCTCAGGCCGCCCCCTCAGCGGTACACACAGGCGCCTAGTAGGGAGACCTTACCGCGCATGCGCACACTCACTGTACGCGAGGAGCCCCCCCCACCAGGTGTTCCTTTTTTTCCCTTCTTTTTTTTTGAGACAGTGTCTCGCTGTGCAGTTCAGGCTGGCCTTGAACTCACTATGTAGCCCATGCTGGCCTCAAACTCACGGTGGTCCTCCTGCCTCAGCCTCTGGGTGCTGGATGACAGGTGGGCACCACCACACCCGGCTCCTCCCTCTTAACCCGCTCCCGGGGTTCCGAGCACTCGTGAATGGAAGTCCTCTCTGTCGCGACCGCGGGGTCATCCCCTGCAGACACCGGGCCAATCTGCAGCGCTCCGGCCCCCTCCTGCAAACCCCGCCCTACGTAGTCGCGTCTGAACGTGGGGCCCCACTGTCGCCCACTCCTGCCTCCCTCCGGCCTCGGCCACCATGACTGAGAGCTGCAGACACCCAGGCCCCCGCCCCACGGCGTCCCGCCTCCCCACCTCTGCGACGAGCACCTCATCTGTGACCCAGTCTGCGCCCCCAGGCACCCTGCTGCTCGGCCTCCAGGGCCTGGATGCCTGGGGCCACCCGGCACCTTCACCGCCAGTCTGTGTCCCGGGGAACTGGACCAGCCTCAGCTGGGCATGGCGCTGCACACCTGTCATCACAGCTGTTTGTGAGGCTGAGGCAGGAAGATCAGGGCAAGAACCTGTCTCCACTGGAAAGATGAAAAGGGCTGGGGCTCAGCAGCCAGCGCTGAGGATTGTGTCCCAGCGCTGCAGGAACAACACACAGCAAGGAGAAAACACACAGCCTCGGCTGCTGTCCTCCTGCTTCCTCCCTGCTCTGAGCGGCGTAATTCCCATGGCCAAAAGGCAGAAGGGCCAGCTGCTCCTCAGGGCACAGACGGATGAGCAGCGGCACCTGGGGACCGCCGGCCTTACTCGGCCAGGAGGGGACAGAGAGCCGGCGCACGAGCCTCCCGGGGGAACCCTGAAAATGTGATACGGAGCCGTGCATGCCAGACAGGAGCCGTCACGCGGTACAGGGTGCCAGCGGTGGAAATGTGCAGAGCACGGCGGGGGGGTGGGTGTGTGTGTGTGTGTGGGCGCAGTCACACGCACACCCATGACCCCAGCACTCTGGGAGGCTGAGGCAGGGGGATGGCGAGTTTGAGTCTAGCCTGGGCAACTTAGGGACTTAGCAAGACCCCGTCTCAAAATACAAAATAAAAGCGTAGGTGTGATGTCGCACATCTGTAACCCCAGCACTCTGGAGGCTGACAGGAGGATCGCCTCGAGTCTGAGACCAGCCTAGGGTAGGTAGTGAAGTCAAGACCAGCCTGGACCGCATATCAAAACCGTGTCTCAAAAAGACCAAAAAAAAAAAAAGAGAAAGAGAATAAAAAATAAAAAAGAGCTGGGGATGCAGCTCAGTGCAAAGGCCCTGGGTTCCGTCTTCAGCGCTGCAAAAGCTAACAAAAGC